TTTTAGATTCTGAGCCAAACGAGGAAGCTAGTGGTTTTACAATGGTGTTTATTTTTTTATTTTTTTTATTACATATACAAATTTCTACCAAGATTTCAACATATAGTACCTTATCTTTTAGCAAATTGGATTCATCGAATTAAAGTTTAAGGGGCCTGCGTGCGACCAGTTTTTTTGCTCAAAAACATGCCTTAAAGGAAAAACTCTCACGCCTAGTAGATTGGTCCGATTTCCGTAATTTTTTTTTTTGTTAGATAGAGGAAGACTTATTGGATTTGGATTTTCAAAATCATTTTTCGAAATTCTTATATTACAAGTTTGAATTTAATCCATTTTTACAATCTTTTAGTTTTTGTATTATTATTTGTTTTTAACAACGTAATCAAAAATCGAAGTCCAATGCGCCCTAAAAATATTTTTCCAGCTAACGAAAAAAAAAATTACGGAAATCAGACCAATCTACGAGGTGTGAGAGTTTTTCCTGTAAAGTGTGTTTTGATCGATATAATACACCCTGTCAACCCCCCCCCCCCTAAATAGGTATTGGGTAGTAGATTAGTAGAAAAGTCTTATAATTGAGGTGGCAACTAAAATATAAAATTTAATTTTCAAATTTTATAGAATTGCTGAAAATTTTAAAAGTCACTACCAGGACCCTTAATACAATCCATTATACATTGTCCTACTGTATAGTAGAGCGACATCCAATTACCCGCTTTTTTATATAATAATTGTAATAATCAATTGTTTGGAAAAATATACCATTTAATGAATATTACCATTAAAAATTATATTGATACATTATTTTCATATTAATGTTTAATATAATAATATTATCCAAGTAGAGCTTTGGAGTTTATGAATATATTTTTGTTTGGTGTAACATATATAATTTTTAACTAGTTCATCACTAGTTAATTTTAAAATTGTATAAATTACAATTGTAAATCTGTAAACATTAAATGTAATTATTTTACAATGCAATTAAAATATGAATATAAGTAATAAGTGTATAACATTACAATAAACAATATTTACAGAGTTGGCTTACAAGAGTACAATAATAATTATACTATCATAATATTTTATTTTTATACAGACATAGGTATATCGTATATAGGTATACAGTATATAGGTACACTAATATTACTAATATCATAAACTCGAAAGTTTGTGACTTTGTTACCTTCAATTAAGAACTACTCTAACCAATCTTGATGAAATTTTAACACTGTGTGTATTTTGGTCCAACTTAAAACATAGGCTAATTTAAAAAGGGAGAGGACCAACCCCACGAGATCAGCTAATATATTATAATAATGAGTTGATCCACAGAAATACCTACCAATAATAATGTATGACGGTTAATGGGCCTAGTTACTACCGTAGGTACATTTGAGCTCAAAAGACCTTAAGTTTTGACAAAATTCAAGTTAGTTTACGTTGCCCGATTTTTATTCCAACAAAAAATTTTAAACTTGGCCAAAAATTGTCTATAGATCGTACTGAACACTTTGTAAAAATTAAATCTTTTATTATTGTGAACTGTACTTGATTAAAAATTTCCTAAATGTTGCCCCTTACATATTATAATAGCTGCAGCGACTATAGCGAGGCCGAGATAATATCATTATTCATTAGTGACCCAAATAAATGTATTAATAGACGAGTTGCATTATCGATCTTTCGTGATTGTACCCAGTATACTTAAGTGCGACCGATGACGGTTTCTTAGAATAGGTATTTACTAAATTGATCATGGACATAAATTATAAATTAACAGGAAAGGAATTTTTATATTTTATATTTTATTTGAAAAATCCAAATAATTAAAAATGTATAGGTGGCGCATTTGCACAACCTGCCATCCTGCACCCCTCGGGCGTGCCTGTTAAAGTTTATAGTTTTAAATTAATTTTTAACACTGTAATGTGCAATCTTAGGCTCTTAGCTATAAGTAGAAAATTAGTTACGTATTATTATTAGGCCTCGGATTTAAATGCCCTAAAAATATCAAAAAATGTCCTTTCAAAAAATATATCTAACATGTAAAATTGTGTAGGTCCGTTTATAAATATAAAAAAATGACTCGAAGATAAATTTTAGACTTGTCTGATTTAAAACCAGATTACCTGATTATATTATATAGACATATAGTTCAAAAAGAAAATGATATATATTACATAGTGTAGGTACTAATGTTTATTGATTATATTTCAATGAAGTAAATTTTGCTTAGTCATAATATGAGAAATGAGTAAAACATGTCTTAAAAAATAAAAAAATGTATTAAAAACGTTAAAAATACTTTTAAAAAAATGGTGTGGTAACAAAATGGAGTAGTTGAAACACATTTATAACTTGTCACATTACTTAAACAACTTATTACTATAATAGCGTTCAAGACTTAATGTCCACTAAAAATCCTTGAAGTAAAGAATCAAAATAATATTTTCTTGTTTATAGGAACGACAAAATCAAATATATAATTTGGAGAGCCTGTGCTACAATAACAATGATTACCATAATCTGTTAAGAGTAGATTATTTATTACCACCGCCTCCGCTACCGTCATCACCCCAGCCGCTGGACGAATTTGAACGTTTGAAGTACGCAGTAAGTACCTATACTTATATATCAAGCAATCTCTCTGAAATTACAAAAAATGGGATTTCTCGTGTACAGATACCCTCCTGTAGGGAAATGCCTGATTGGTTGCCGGAAGCCGTTTTCGGACGCACAAGCTACGTACAATCCTCGCTCATCACCCATGATGTCGAGGCACACGAACAGAGTGATAGAATGGTGCAAGATATCGTTTACTATCTACTTCACGTCGATATAGCGGCGAGAGAGATATTTGGAGATGACGAGTATGGTGATTCAACGGTGAGTGATTTATGGCTAAATTCTTTTATGTCAAATGGATAATAGCAATATATTTAATATAGACATTTATTTTTTGGTCGAAGATGTTATAACTTCACTGCTCTCTTATTTAAATTGTTCATTTTATTGATATTCAATTTTTCGACTAACGTATGGTATGCTGGTAGCTGCCGATGAACATAAATTAAATGTTGTAATTAAAACCGCTATATTGTTGTGATGTTACTACAAAATATGTAAATACATTATATTATATTAATATTATACATTTTTTTTTATATTTTAAATTTGATAGACAAGTAGAGATTATGAATCATGGATGGACGAATAGTACAACACTTGAACACTATATGATAGCCACTACGAAAATGAAGGTGGCTGTTGAGTATACATATTGTGTAATGTGTATATGTTCATGTTAAGTCTGGTATGTAATTTTTTAAGTCAGTCTACCTATATTAAGTAATTTATTGCCGGTGTTGAGCTCAGATGACAAAAAAATTATGATAGCTGCTTCGAAAATTAAGGCAGCTGTTGAGTAGGTATACATAATATTGTATATACATGTTAAGTCTGGTATGTAATTTTTTAAGTCAATCTATATACAAAGACTTATATTATGATTTATGAATCATATACATTATTTAATTTACTTTATTATCTTTGAAAAACCATTTACCCATTAACTTTTTTTTAAAATTTATAATAATAAATTAATGTAAATTATTAATGTATGAAAGTCAACGAACAAGAGGGGACCGGGGAGGGGGTGCTTCAATGGGGCTAGCAAATGGCTATAAAAACTTCCACCCCAGAACCAATTCCTAATTTACGCCACTTGACTTAAAAAATATTTTTCTAGATAGGTAAGATAAAAGATAATAAGTTATTATATCGAGATAAGCTCAACACTGTACATTTATTTCCATTTGCAGATATAAAATAGTTTAATCATTAATCACTCACCGTTGAATCACCATCCCCGGCATCCCTAAATATCTCTGTCACCGCTATATCGACTTGCAGTAGATGGTAAACAATATCTTCTACCATTCTATCACTTTGTTCGTGTGCCTCGACATCATGGGTGATGAGCGAGGATTGTACGTAACTTGTGTGTCCGAAAACGGTTTCCGGCAACCAATCAGGCATTTCCCTACAGGAAGGTATACACGATTATATAAACCTATGTATTTATTTAATAATTACGTATACACGTGAAAAACGTATTTTTGTAATTAATTTATATTTTATTTCAGATAGATTGCTTGATATATAATAAGAAGGTACTTACTGCGTACTTCAAAAACTCAGATTCGTCCAGCGGCTGGGGTAATGGCAGTAGAGGAGGCGGTGGTAATAGATTATGGTAATCGAACATTTGATTTTGTCTTGCCAATAAACAAGAAAATCGTATTCTGGTAATTTTGATTCCATATTTCAAGGTTTTTTAGTGGACATAAGTCCTGAATCCTATTGATTATTACCTATAGTAATAGCTACATAATACCATTGATTATAATAATTATCAATGATAATACGTAACAAATTTTCTTCTTAGCTAAGACTGCACAGTAGTGTCAAAAAAACACTCAAAACTATAAACTTTAATGATAAATTAATATAGTAGCAGAGTGTCTAATATAAAATTATTTATAGGTTCGTCTTCTTCTGATGGACCCACCGCTGTCGTTAATCTGTCTATGTGGTCATCGGACGTTCCTGATTGAACGGAAGTCCATCCTCCGCACATCCGGAGGGTATATGAGATTTCCGCTTGTCCAGGTCCAGACCTAGACGCGATAGAAAAGGCAATGGAAGTGGTGAATAAAGCAGGAACAGGTCCACACTACAAGAGGGAGATGTGTGCCATGGTATGCCTCGACGTGGCGAACGCGTTTAATTCGGCCCCATGGGCAAATATCGAAGATGCCTTGGTAAAAAAGGAAGTGCCTGAATACCTGGTATGCATCTTGAGAAGCTACCTGAGCGAGAGGGCAATATTATACGGGGACACGACGCGGCGTGCAGTAACCAGCGGGGTGCCCCAAGGATCGGTGCTCGGACCAATCTTATGGATCGTGATGTACGATGATTTGCTGCGCATCGCGATGCCAGGTAACATCCGAGGAATGTCGAGTTCTAGCCTCATAGCTTTTGCTGACGATGTCGCAGTGGTGGCGACAGGGCGTACAACAGCTCTCCTGGAGGAGTCCATGAACATGAACGCGGTGTCAAGATGGATGGCTAAGTCAGGCCTTACGTTGTCAGTGAGCAAGACCGAAGCGATAATGCTGACTACCAAACGCGGGTACACGCAACCTAGATTCTTCCTGGAAGGTGAAATGCTGCAACTGAAAGATCACGTGCGCTACCTAGGAGTGGAGGTGTGAAAAAAACTAGGCTTCGGAAAGCACTTGAAGTCTGTGGCGGCCAAGGCTACAACAACAATTGCCTCGCTGTCAAGGCTAATGCCGAACATTGGTGGTCCAAGGCAAAAGAAACGACAATTACTAATGTCAGTCATGACAAAAATAAAAATTAGATGTAATATTGAAACAAGTTTTTTCATACTCAGGCCATTTTTTACAAGTTTTTAGCGTTAATAAATTAAAATTAAATCCCTAAAACTTTAAAATCACCATTGGGGGTAAGAATATTATGTATATTTAATTTTTCGCGATGATTTGACTTGTGTCTGCGCGTGTGAGGGTTGCTTCCGGCGCGGTTGCCCTACTCGACGTGCAGCGATTTTCGGAAACGATAACGGAGTACGCACACTAATGTTCATTTACTACTCACACACAGATACAGTATTAATTTATATGTCACATGAATTGCCTAAATAGTACTCCTTAAAATATGCTACGGTGCAGCAACCTTCAGGAAAGGCATTAATGTTGCAAAAGTTACGAGAGGAAAAATAGGTAAGTTATATAAAAATTATCACGTGTAAATTACGTGTGTTACCTCCACATTTAGGTTGGTTTGGTTATCTATGTTATGCGTAATATTATAATAAACATTCATAGGTTAAACTGATTTAATGAACCATCTAAAATTACATTTTCATAGTTTTTAATCCGATTTATAAGCTGATGATAATTGATTCTAACATTAAGGACGAGAAGTAAAATTGAGGTTTTAGAGAATTGTATTATATATATATTAGTTTGTACACCATTTTAATATCAATTCGTAGGTACTGTAAAATGTGATGTATCTAATACGTGCAAAATATACTAAATACCCCATGTGAATAAAATTTATTTTCGACATCTAATTTCAAATAAAACTCTATCGCGTTCTTATGATTTTTTAATGTACCTATAATCACAGACGAAAACTCCAGTTTTTAAATCAGCATTGTAATGATGTATGTAATTTATGGTTAATAATACACTCGTTTCGTAATAATAAATTAATATGTAGGTAGTAGGTATACCAATGATAAAAGCTATAATTATTGAATATGTGATTATTTCCGTTTTAATGGGTAGTGCTGGCGAGACGTTCGTAAATATTAATTTCCCTGGATACAACATATTTATATAGGTTATTTTAACATTTTAAGTGCATATTAAAATTTAACTTTTAACTAATGCTAATAATTGAAAATGTAATTATATTACATATAGTATGTCCACGAAAACTGGGTTCACTCTATAACTCAGTTACCTACATTACTCAGTACCCTATACATGTTTTAGAATTCTGTCAGCGGGAGATTGATGATCCAATACTCTAGTTTCATGTGCCGCAAATAGAATTTAAAAATATATTTAGGATACCTAATAACATGAGTAATTGAATATTATAGAGTGTACACTGTTTTCGAGACACACGGTGTATATAATTAAAATTAATTTTAGCAATATTCTAAACGGTCGAATTGACAACGCACTATCATTTAAAGTACCTATGCCTACGAACTATAAAATAGGTTCGACAAAAGAAAATTCCTACCGATTTTATGCAGTAATAACATTATGTGTAAATTACTAAATACGTACCTACATAGAAACGGGCTAAGGTAATACATATAGATAAAAACCGGTCTTGAAAACAACCAGTTTGGCTTTGAAATTCCTCGTCGATTTTTCAGTGAAAATATTCACATATATAAGTAGGTAATAATATTATTTTAAGTTATATACCTACATTACTTTCGATACATATATTATTAAAATCGTCTTTTTCTAGTGTATCATCGTCGTAGTGTTGAAAATCGAAATTTCCTCAATAAATTGAGAGCAATAAATTAACTTAATGTTTAAGCAAAGTAACGTAGGTACATATACGTAAAAGATGCGTATTATTTATATTTGCGTTGTTGTTAACTTATATAGGCGTTCGAGCGTAACATGATAATGATATATAACATTATTATTGTTGATACGGTTGATTAGTTGCAGAGCACGTATTTTATTCCTGCAAAAGATTCTACAAATCTAACCACAGATGGTTATGGTTATACAATTATGATTCGTATACGATCGGTACGATAGGTATTGACCGCTTTGAATCATTTCTAACGCGTTTATTTTTGGAGTCGCAGTCCACCACGAATTAATTGCATTCTTCCATTCTTCGGAGCTTTCAACTTTAAAATATAGGTCACTGTTGTAAAATCGATTAATTCACCGAAGTGGTTCTCAACGTGTTTTTGATTATCATGTCACCCTTATTTAACACTAGTAACTGTTAAGTGCTCCTACTACCAACAAATTGGTAAACGGTCACTTTGTGTGGTCCATATTGTAGAACGTGGACAGTTTGTATTATTATGTTATACATTAAGTATGTTAATAATAATTGTAAATAGAAGTATAAGTATATTAATAATTTTAATAATATAATGTTATAAAGTTCGAAGGGATTTAATGATTTAAACATAAGTTTTAAAATTTTAAAGTTATTATATTATAAAATAATTAATTTAAAATGCATTTCAATGATCAAAAGATAATTTGATTAATTTCGACATCACTGTTGGGAAATATATTTATCTTTAAAATACATAATCGAACGTGTCCTGACTGAATGATCAAAATATATTATATATAATAGAAGAAATTAGTAGAAATATAGTAGAAATTAGTATTTTGTATATACTCGTAAATAGCTGTCATTGGTTATTCAGTCAGATGGAGACATGAAGTAAAAGCATGCATCAAATCGTCGCGTTTATGGCCTCGAATAACGAAATTATATCTTAAAACAAATATGAGAGTTTATTTAGAGAAAATATTATTCTATATATGTTTGTTGCCTATAGACTCAACAGCTAGTCGACTGATTTTGACGAAAGTGTCATATATTATTATACTTAGACATATCAGAAATATTTACAGCAGTTTGAACCACCTTCGAAAATATACCAAGAGCCATATAATATACCTAAACTGGGGTACCTACACTAAAAACGAGATACACCCATACGATATTATACTTGTTCATTTTTTCTAGGGTGAAGTCGGGTTATACAGATAGTATTATACATTTATTTATTATTTATGATATTATATATAATACGGTACTTTCCCAGTTCAAATATAAACTAAATTAGGAGAATTAAATACATATACAAGAACATTCATAAAATTGCATGAACATCGAAAAATCTTAAAAACAAAATAACTGCATGATTCAGGGTATATATATAAATATATAATTATATAAATATAGATAAATTAATCTATAAGTATATTTATATATCTAACTATAAAAAGACTATAACTATATACAGACTAAACTCTGGAACTACTTATCAGATCTTCTTGTATATATTATATATATATGTATATCGACAAAAGATAATAATACAAATCAACAAACATAATTAACCAATAGCAACCAATATATCATAAACCGGTGGATTTTCCTAAAATGTTCTTACATATAAACCTTCTCCGTGAAAAACTCTTTCGTTTAAAAAAAAATCAAGAGGATCTGATAAGTAGTTCTAGAATTTAGCCTGTACAGAGATTTTCATTTAACATTTTTATAGTTGGATATTATTATATTATAATTTATATTTAAAAAGTAAAGCAAATAGTTTTTTGTTTTTATTATTATTATTATATAGCTTAAAATCCATCATTGCTTATAGACGCATAATAATAACACTGATTGAATATGTATATGTACAATAACAAATCGTAATATAATAAATGGTTTGTTTATTATCTTGGCAATGAATCAAAACGATTCACTATAACTCTGTATTGAAATTTCTAGAACGAATCATTTTATACGACGTCACTCATGGAAACCATTTATAAACAAAAATTTATATCTGAAATCTCAAAATTCCCGTTTAGCACCTCCCGGGGTTGATCCTCTTCCTTTTAAAATTAGCCTATCTTTTAAGTTAGGCCAAATTACCATAGATAATATAAGAATGGATAGGACATGCCTATACCAGTTCCATATGAGGCCGTGTGCTTTTTTGGGGAAGAGAGAACGTAAAGAGAGAAAGACTATATGAGGCTTTTTAAGGTTATGTGCAAAACTATTTTATTAAATAATAATAATAATAACATGATAGTCAGTTATATTTAGATATTTGTCAGTTTGTATTTTGATTGTTGTGCCACTTGTGCCTGGAAAATGGAAATTGGAAAATAATATTTTAACAAAATGAAATTATATAAATTTTATTTATTATTATTTATCAATTATCATATCAATATTTGCCTTATATAACCTTAAAAATAGTATCACTAAATTTTCATGTGATAAGTTCTTATGTCCTATCCGTTCTTATATTATCTATGCAAATTACTCACATTGTAAAAATGTCATCAAGTCGGTCCAGTAGTTTCGGAATTTATTCCGGAAGTGACACGAGATTTTTATTTTTTAATACTTACCTACTGAAAATAAAAAATTAAAATTAAGTTTAATTTTTTTTGGAAAAATATAAAGCATATATTAAGTATACATAATGAAAATATAATCTAAAATAAATATCATGGTTCCTCATTGGCAAATTTCATCATCATAGAAAGAGGACGATTTGACTTAGTATTATACTATTATACTATTATATATGTATATTATATATACATTATTTATGTTTATATATACCTATATATAATATTATACATATATATATTGATAAAATAATTACTATTGTTGTCATTGTTTTGTACTATTTTTACATATCGGTCGCGAAATTATAATAATTTCACGGAACAGCAATATTATTTCATTCATATTAAAATTCGTAGGTCCTTGTTCTCGTAGATACGCGTTTAATATCCTAATACCTACACTACACTACAGCTACATACCAAATCCAAGATAATTTGTTTGCGTATTTGTGACGATAAGTGATAACTTATACGGGGTTATACACACAGATTTCTATATATTACTAGATAGCGAA